AGTGTATATAGCAAACTGTCTGCAAAGATGGGCTACTATGCTGTTAGTTTATAATTTTTCTATAAAATATAATTTAACCAATACTGATGCATTATCCATGCTCATGGCTACACAAAATGAAGTACCAGAAGGCATGGTTATTGCAGTATTAACTCTAGAGCCAGAAGTCATGTCAGTGTTTGCATGTGGAACATGTGATTGTCCCGTCTTTATTACATGTAAGAGTGATAAAGCAATTCCATTATGGTCATCAGAGTATTTGTTGTATAAAATCCCTAGCATGCAGCTATGTTTATTGGCTAAACATGGATAAGCAGTTGGAAGAATTGGTATGCACATTTTCCAAAGTGCCAACTGGCAACAAAAGTTCCTGGCTTATCTCTGAATCACCATGGTCATGCTTTCACATTGATTTATTTGGACCTATCAAGGGGCAGTATTATTTTATTCTTGTTGATGCTTACAGCAAATGGCCAGAAATTTTTCAGCTGCATCACATCACCTTGGACGAAACAATTGTTAGGTTAAAGCAAATCTTCAGTTGATTTGGAGTCCTACAGATACTAGTTTCTGATAATGGCACTGCTTTCATTTCAGTTGCATTTTCAACCTTCCGTGCACAGAATGGTACTCAACATATTAGGACACCACATTTTCATCCACAATCAATGGAGTGTTTTGTAGACACCCTTTTAAGTGGGCACTCCTCAAATTTGAAGGGGAGTGAGCTACACAAGAAATATTAGAAGTATTCCTTGAAAGTTACATCCAGTCCAAACACATTTAATGGAAATCCACAACAGAAGCATTGATGAACTGTAAAGTTTGTTTACACATAGGTCATCCATCCAACTAGATACCATTCCCTAAATGGAATATGGTGATGGAAGAACAATTTAACTGTTATCATGGAGAAATAAAACACAAATATATACCAGGACAACCTGTACTTACAAAAGATTACAACGTTAAAGAAAAATGGATCCAAGGAGACATTATATATCGCTCTGGAAATGTTACGTATGACGTGGATATACAATCTTCAGTCTCGGTTTGACATACAAACCAATTACAACCATCAAACCTTCCAGAGACCAAATCAAACTCTACTGCTGGACATTTAATTGGACACCTTTGAACTGTCTCAAATTTCCCAAGAAATGTCAAAGGCCAAAGATAGGACTCCAGCAAAAAGTGCACCAAAGAAATCACATTGTCTATGAAATAAGCCATACCTACTGCAATTAAATCTCCATTAAAAGTCATCCAAGCACAAGGCTAAAAAGGAGAGGTGTTAGGGGCTGCTAACTTACTTTTCTTATAATGGACAATAACTCAAAGTACAATTGAGTTGCCTCCCTTGTCCACTAGATGGAGCACGGCACTTCTAAATCAAACATAGTGACAAGCTGACATACACCTGGAATTCATGGTTTAAATCCAAACCTCTCCTTGCTGTTTTTAGACCATAAATGAATAGAAGTTGTTTTATTATGTGTTAAAATACACTTATCTTTAATTTTTGTTCATCCTAACTATCTGGGATATAACAGTAGCAATTATCACTTTCCAATTGGGTACTTTTGTCAGAATGTAATGAACTTGAAATGAGGAAGGGAATGAAGAGGAATTTGGTGAGAGGTAGGTGAAATGTGACTGTACTCACCCACAAGAACAAGTAGGTATATAGATTTAAGAGATCACTGTAAAAAAGCCATCAATGTCTGTAGAAACTTTCCCACGTAACCCACAAATTGATCCTGGTCAACTGCAACCAGTAATGTAGCCATATGCTCCACATTGGTCTTCAAGTTCCTTCTGACCACTGTAGTTACCATCTAGCTGACTCCTCACATGTTAACACATGGCTTGTTTGTTGCTGTATCTTGATGATAGGCACAGTTCCACTTGACTTACCTGGTGTTTTTATGTTTTTAAGCCATTCACTCCTACCATGTTGTGTTTTTTTTTATCTTGGAGGGTGAAAAGATCCCTGATAAAGCAAACTGAAGTGAAAATGGGTTGACGTTATGTGCTACACAAAAAAATCCTTTGAAATAAATAATTAACTCTGGTTAAAAATATAATAATGAATTTTTTTATATATGATTTGTTGTACAGAGCAGTTTTAACACTTCTCACTTATTGTTACAATCAAATGACACTAGGATCTCCTCCTTTGGAGTCTGCAGCTTGTGTTAGTAGTAACTTAAATTTCTAAGTTCTGGTCTTCAGGGCCAACACAAGGTCTTGGTCTCGATGAACAATATGGATTCCAGCAGCAGTAATGTGGTGATTCTTCAAGTTGTCCAAACCTAAAGCTTATATGGAGTTGTGTTACTGGCAGGGGTGAGGTTGACCAGGGTCTGGGTTTGGTTGTCTTCCACCCATCAACCTTTTTCTAAGATTCCATATTCTCAAAATCTGTTTACTTGAGTGATTTTCCAAATTTGGAATTGTCCAGTCCCCTTTTCAGAGTGGTCAGAGGAATCAAGCTGCCCCTTAACTCCTGCTCCCTTTATGTCTCATCTCTCACGATGGTTCTATATAAGTGGTGCTAATCTCTCTATCTCTCTTCCTTCTTCCACTTTCTCTACATCTAACCTCAGCCTACTCCAAGAGCTGACATGAATCCAGTCTTTCAAAACGTGTAGGCAAAAGGGATTTTCTACATCAGCTTGCCGCATGCTGTGATTTCCAAAAGTCAGAGACTTGGATGGAGCTTGGCCAGATGGGACTCCCTCACCCCTGCCAGCCAATCTCAAAATTTTGTCATGGGTTAGAAAAGGAAAGAGAAATATTCCCAATCTCTTCAGTGATAAAAATGTTATCTTTCCTCTGTTTTTATGTTTTAAGACAATACAGCCTTTTTGCCCACAGTCACTCCAAAATAGTAATTCATTTTTCTTTATCAATTGTATCCAAAGGAATCTGAATTAATGTTGGATATAAAATTTTCCTTGATGAAAGTCACAGAAATTTAAATATTTGACCTCGTCAGGCTAATCTTTATCTTTGTAGGGACACTTTTCTCCTGGATTGTCGATTCAAACCAGCTGGTTTTTCCCAGCTTTTTGTCCAGAACTTTAAATGTTGTTATGTGTAACTACCCAAGTAATTGCTTCCCCAGCTGACAAAGTCTCTCCATATATGCAGTACCATGTTCATAAGTATCTTTTTCTTTTTCGTGTGGCGTTTTTATGCTGAGTGATCTCACAAAAAATTTGTATACTCTCGCCAATTCTTCTAGCTCTGAGACCATGTCATTCTTAAATTAAGGTGTTAGGGCAGCCATTTTTTTTTTCCTTGTAGTTGTAAAGAAAAAGAAAAAATAAATTGTCAACTATGCAACAAACGTCTTCAATAGATTTCTTCTGTCTCTCGAGCACAACAATTGTAGCCAAATCACAGTTCAAATGATAGTCCATCGTAACAGTCCAACAAGCAAGTAGAAATGACAAAATGGGGTCACACATTCAACCTTCATTTCTCACCAGGAAAAACGTGTGTTCGTCCACCAAGCTCAGTCAATCTAATGCCGCATAAGCGAAAAACAACAGCTTTTGTTCACCGGGAGGTCTTTCTGATTGGTCACGCCATTCAGTGGAGGGAAGAACATTAACATAGATTCTAGTCCTTAAAGTAGATTTTTGCTAACTACTTTTTGGTAATTTTTCTTTGGCAGATTGCACACAAAACACAAACTCTTTTCTGAGGTAGCTGATTATCTCTTTCACTACATTCCTTTCTTTCACTCATTTTGCATGCCAGGCATATACATGCTCGCTTTGCCACATAAGGTAAGTCACTTATTTTGGTAACCACCCAGAGTTTCTTTATTGGCAACATGTTTTTTCTATTTTACATCTTCGATTGTACCTTAATGGTCTCTTTTTCATCAGCAGGAAGTGGGGAAGGAGAGGTAGTCTTGGTTTTGCTCAATCTTAATGAATTCTGTTTAGTTAAATTTGGGTTCAATTCTCCTTGGAGCTGTTTGGGAATTTATTTGTTTTTTTTTTTTTTTTCAACACATTTTGTTTTTAATTTTCTTATCTTTTCAATCCATCTTCCTGTGAATTTCAATAATTATCATCCAGTTAGTAGACTCTTTCCTCTTTTTTTCTTTCCCTTTTTGTTTGATCAAGTCCCTGGGATCTCGGTGTTATACCCATGAGTGTGTAGATTATAGTAACTTTCAGGTCACCTTGTAAAAGTTGTTTTTTACTATTTTTACAAATGTCATAACTATTTTGACTGTGTTACATATTTCATTCAGTAAAATTGCTATCTTTTGGGATTTTCATTTGTATTAAAATCTGGTACTGGAGTGTTTTTTTTTTTTTTTTGTTTGTTTTTTTTATTTTTATTTTTTTTTTTTAAGATGTTTGCCAATTTTAGATACAAACAAGTTTTCCCTTTAATCTTTGATTTTATTTTTTCTTGAGAATAGAATTGTGACATTTGGAACTGAATGGATTTACCATTTTCTGATGTAGTCTATAACTGCAGTTGCAACTGATCATAAGTGGACAGTTAATGGTCATCAGTAAAGGATGGTTAAGTTTGTGTTATGTGAAGGGTAACAGATGCTAGATATTTTTACTGTCATTATCACATTAATCATGCTTTGGGATAATCTATTCTAATATATATTCATTAAAATACAATGTTATCTGTTTTGAATAAGACTTGTGTTTTTATGTCCATCGTCTTTGTTAAATTGAACTGAATTGTATTTTAATGAATATTGTCTTGAAAAAGGTTTATTAAACCGAAAACGTCAGATGTCGACATTTCTTTCATTTTAACTACATTTAAGGATTTTGTTTGTTTTTTTTTTTTTTCTTCATATATATATATATATATATATATATATATATATATATATATATATATTGCTGGAAAACAATTTCCTAATTGCAATTACACTTTCTACAATTAATATCCTTGTGAAGATGTTTGTTTTACTTTTTGTTTATTTATCAATAACAATCTTGCAGCTTCGACCCTGGAATGTTGATACATTATGTAAAGAGAAAGAATCTAAAACTGTGAGTAGAGCAAGTTTGTTTTTCTTTATTGGGTTTCATTTGCTTTAAGTGTCAGATTACTGTTCTATGAGCTGAATACACTGTTATTTTTATAGCTTTTATCTCTCTTTTTCTTTTTGTTAGTTAATCAATCCAAGCAAACCACTAGTGGAAGAGGAAATATCAGAGGAAGACAAAGGGATCCGACAGGTAAGAACACTCTTTTTCTTTGCTTTGGTTTCACCTTTGCTTAACTTATGTGCTAATAATTTTTGCTGACATTTCATCAATATTTTCTAATAAATCTTTTGAATAAATTCTTTTGCATTTTCAAATAATTAAAATTGACTTACAATATATTGGCTGGTCTTACCTATCTCAAAATCATCTTTTTCTCCTAAAAAAGTTTATTCAAAAGTAAAACTTTGTTTTGAGACCCAAATTCTATAATATATATTATGAACCATCCAACATTTCAGTGTGTGTGTGCGTGTGTGTATATATATATATATATATATATATATATATATATATATATATATATATATATAATTATGCATTAAGGTGTGCTATATTTATGGGATAAAAGGCTCATTATCAGAGATAGAGCATGTAAATATCAAAGTGAACATTGAAGTCAACACTTAGAGGTGGCAGGCTGTTTCATGCTAGACGCAATTGTCAGGCCTGTCTATTGCATGCATATATATATATATATATATATATATATATATATATATGTTTAGGCAGCAATTTTTCATTAATGTATGTTTCATTAAATAATATAGACAAGTTTTGTCTATTTATTTTAAGTAAGTTCCTTTCATATTGTCTGATAAGCTTAATCACATTATCATTGAAAGACGAAAGGAAAACACCATATTGATACATGTTTAAATCCAATCTAAACTTTCGGCTTACACAAATCATTATCAAAGATGACAATTTCAATAAATCAAACAACACACTGTCAAAACAACAATGATAGTCCGCCCTTGCTGCATGAAAATTTCCAAGTAACGACAAACTCGTATATATGAGACGTGGAAGCCAAAATAGTGTTGCAGCTCATGATGTTACACATGACCATGAGAGACTGAAAAACGAGAAGTATTAAGTATGGGAAGCCATTGGTATAAACCAATGGCTTCTGTTATAAATTATAGGCATTTAAGGATATTTGTGGAGATTTCATAGTTTATTTTGTTCAGGTTAGGTTTCAACTGTTTTATGTATAAAGCTTCAAGAATTTTTAATTTTTGTTTATTGTTTTCATGTTTAAGTATAGTTGTGTTGTCAAGAAGGAATCGCCAGAATTGAGTAAGTGAGCAGGCATGTTGTTTTAAATGTCTAAAAATGTTAGTTATTTAAACTTGTCTATATTATTTATTGAAACATGCATTTTTATATATATATATATATAATGAAATTGGGGTAATTTAGGAATGCAAACTTTATCCTTTATTTAAAGAAATTGTATTAAAAAGTAATGAAGTTCCCTCTGACACCATGTTCCACTAAGCTTAGGGTGGAAAGATATATGAGAGTGTCCACTGAAAAGTCAAAGCAACACAAAAATTACATGACCTGACACAGCATCATAAACTCAAGAACATATTTTATTTAAACTGTCCACTAGATCTGTCTTGATCTCAGCATTCCCAAGTGGGATTGAAAGCCCTTACAATCATCATCGACATCATCATCCTTATTGATGTTGTTATGATGCGGAATCGTGCAAGGATTCCACCTATTTTTGCGCGCGTGCGTATTGCACCCCTTCCTTTCACTTTCGGTTAGACATAGCAGTAAACCAGCCTGTTTGTTGCCGACAAGGTTGCTGGCTGCTCCTGATACCGTCTAGAACGGAATTTGAAGTTTTCCTGTGCATTTCTCTGTCGTCATTGACAAACTTTGTTTTTCAAGTCAGTCGCGGCCAGTTTCCAGAAGAAGGTTGACTCATTTATTTCGTGCCCCTTACCTATACGCATGCCAGAATATCTTAACTGACCAAAATTTCCTACTGACTCCTTGGTTCATTATGCCAAATATTTTTCCTGTGATTGTAACTTGTTTCGAACAACATGTTTGAACCTTCCTCCATTTTCTACCGGAGAATGCAGAGACTATCACGCTTTTAAGACTAATTCCTTGTCCCTCAGCGAACAACTTGTTCGAACTTTCCGCCGTTCACTACGAGAGCTTATGACACTGTTGTCATCACACTTTTGCAAGAACTAATTCCTCGTCTTGATGCGAACAACTTGTTTGAACTGTCCTCCGTTTCCTACTAGAGAACGTAGAGTCTACGGCACTGTCGGCACCACACTCTTAAGACTAATTCCTTGTCCTTCAGCGAACAACTTGTTCGAATTTCCCTCCGTTCACTACCAGGGAACGCAGAATTTTCTTCAATGAAGATTGATGAACTTTTCATACACTTCTTTTGATTTCTAACCTTTACGAACCAGTTTAAAAAAAAAAAATAACATTACACACACACATTATTAAACCTCGCAGTGAGTATTTTTCCTTATTGTGTACGCATACACCTTTTGTACAAGAAGACAATATTCCAGAACCTTCCTTCTGAAGAAACTTTTCCCGCCTTAGCCACTTTGATTTTCGTTATTTCTGTATTATGTAATTATGGGCGCAGTGTTGCCATTTTTACAAACCTGGGAAATTAGCAGAAATGGTTGCAGAGTGTTCAACGTTTTTGAGAATCTTCGAAACTCTGGGAAGAAGAATACAAAACTCAAGTAAGTACATTAATATATTGCAGTGGAAGTGAAGCTGGATATTTTCTTTCTGATGATAAGATGCAAATATGTATGACTTAATTTTGGAAAAATTCAATGCCTACTTCATGCCTAAAAGTAAATATAATTCATGAAAGGGCAAAATTTTAACTTTTAAAGTTCAATTACCAGGAGAACCAGTAGAAACCTTTATTTGTGCATTGCACGAATTAGCAGAAGCATGTGAGTTTCCAAATCAGACCATTTTGACTAAACTACAGAATAAAGACCTATCCTAAAGATTACAATTAATTCCTGATTTGAAACTTGAGAAAGCTATGGAGATGGCCAGAAGCAGTGAGTAAATAGTCTCAAACCTTTGAGATACAAAATTAAAAAGAAAATGTGGAAACAACAAAAATTGCTGTAGATGTAATAAAATACATGCTTTTAAAAACTGACCAGCGAAAGGAAACACTGCAAAAAATGTGGGGGGAAAATGAACCATTTCACTGTAGCCTGCAGAACTAAAAAAAACAATATGATACAGACAGTAAATGAAGAAAAGAAATATTTCCTAGGAAAGCTGACAGAAACATATTCTGTGGTTTAAAAATTTGTAAAATAGCACTGAAATTTAAAATCTATACAAGCACCGATATGAACATCATCTCAAATGAAAAAAAAACTATATTGAAACTAGCAAATGGCATCTTCACATGTCCTGCCAGAATAGAATAGTCCAATGCATTAGAGAAATTTAATAATGGTACAGAAGAAGGTAATGACAAATATTATTTGGAGATAATGTCATTGAATGCGTAAAGGGAGAGAACTTTTTGTCTAGAAAAACGTTTTCAAAAATCAAGTTGGTGAAACATTTAAACAAAGTAACCCAGGGAACTTCATTTGATGCTAGAGGGTGTATGAATAGAGACCCAGTGAAAATAATTCTGAAAAAAGATGCTTTATCCTACTGTGTAAAGGAGTCCCATTCCCTATTTTACCAAAGGTGAAGGAAGAATTGAATAGATTGTAAAACTAGGGAATTATTGAAAAGGTTACAGAACAGATTGTGTGCCTATAGTACCTGTAATAAAAAGAAACGGAGAAGTCCGAATACATGTAGATTTGAATAAGCTGAATCTAGCAGTGAAAAGGGAACATTACATGTTATCGAATTTAGATGATATTTCACCTAAACTAAATGGGGCTAAATTTTGTTTCTAAATTGGATGCTACCAGTGTATTCTCCCAAATTCCGTGAAGAAAGCTATCTACTCATGACTTTCATTACTCCTTTTGGGGGTAGTGCTTCAAAAGATTACCTTTTGGTATAACATCAGCTCTGGAAATGTTTCAAAGAAAGATGACAGAATTATTGAAAAATATTCAAGTAGTCAAAACAATTATCGATGTTCTAATCTATGGTAGAACTATAGAAGAACATGATGAAAGATTAAAAACTGTTCTAAAACAAAAAACTCAACCAGACCTACAGTAGTTAGCGCTGACATTAGCAGTTAAGGTCTTGGAGCAACTCTATTTCAAGAAAGATGACAAATTAGAAATAATAGCATTTGCCTCGTGTACACTCAATAGTGCTGACGAAATACGCACAAATTGAGAAAGCGTGTTTGAGTTGTGTATGGTCATGTGAAAGGTATTACAGATATGTTGCTGGACTTAAATCCTTTAAACTGTTAATGGACCCTAAACCACTTATACTGTTAATAAACACATGATCTGCACAATACCCCATTACGATGTCAAAGACTTCTGATGAAACTGAGACGATATAACCCAGTTGCAGAACATGTTCCAAGGAAGGCACTAGTTGTACCATCAAAGAACCAGGCCCAGCATTGGATAAAAAATGAAATGAAATAAAAATGTCCACTCAACAGAACACCGTATTACAGGAAATAGTACATCTCACATTAAATGGATGGACACACAAAGAAGGAAGAATAAAATAAGGCATAAGGCCATATTTTCTAAGTCAGAATGAATTGTCAATTCAATACAGAATTGTCATACCTGAAAAACTTAGATCAGGAATATTAAAGAGACTTCATAATTGTCATTTGAGACTAAACAAATGCCAATCGAGAGTCAAAGAATCGATGTGTTTGCTTAAAATACCTCAAGAGTTGAAGGAGTATCCAAAAACAAATAAAAACAAAAAGCTCCTTTTGTAACATATGCCATCCAACAAATAAAAAGTAAAAATTAAAAGTAACACCATTTCCTCAAGGTCCATAGCAAAGAATTAGTACAGACATTTTTGCTCACCAATGGCACCAATATTTTATTGCAATAGATTATCTCTCTCTAATATATATATATATATATATATATATATATATATAAGCTTAACCCATTGACAAGTTGAATGCGTTAAAGGGAAGTTGAAAAAATTTTTTATGCATTGGAGTATTCCTATTGTCAGTGATAATGGGAAACAAT